TTCTCATCGATGTGGACGGATTTATCGTGTCGTCCCTTACCTATTGCTCTTGTGCAGGCGAACGAACAATGGGCTGGAGAATTTCGAAGCACTATGTCTTGTGCTCAGTTTACAGCTTCGGCTTGAGGCAGCTTGTTTCTCGTTGGATGATGTTGCTATGAATCAGTAGCCACAGCGAGTTGACGGGTATTCCGCTGGCAGCCGACAAAGCGCCAAATATCTGGCCGGTGTGGGACCAGCCTCCACATCGGCCTTTAACGCCCATGTCATGCCTGTCCATACTTCCTCCCTCCAACTTCTTTGACGAAATGTCAGCGCACCCGCGCGTGGCTTAGGAGCGCTGGCCACGGAGCCAAACCTTGGACACGGTCTGTCGAGTGATGTTGTATCTATCGCACAGCTCCTTCATGTTCCCACGAAGGCTGCGACAGTTCCATCTGTGCTGGATCAGCGTATGGTTAATTCGTGGAACTTTGGTGAGCTCACGACCAGTCACATTGACAGATGTTGACATTTGCGTACCTCAGACTCACGAAGCCTTTTGGCCTGCAAGCAATATCCAATTCTCAAGCCAGAGCGATTGCATGTGGTTTGAAGTTGATCCGATGAGATACGAAATTATCAACTCTTACTTTCGTCGTCTGCTGCGAATGAATTGAATACTACTGTGGTCCACAAAAATTGTCAGGTACTTTTCATTGGACTAGAGTATACTTGGTGACTTTCAACTAGGTTGATTTATAACTTCAAAACATCAGGAGTGTTGCAAAAAAAATTGTGTTCTCTTGTATCCATTTCAAACGATTTGACCAATGTGTCGAGGTGAACTTCCTCGCCCAACCGATCTTGCACTTGCGCCAAGGCACTCTAGTAAGACAGGCGTCAAACTTGAAATTGTACGACGCAAAGGCAGCAATGCACGCATCCTACTTCATGGGAGGAAGCTTGTATTTATTGCTTCCATGCATTTTTACAGACAACTCCATAGCTATGTGAAGAGTTATACTAGCACTAGTCTTCCAAACCCGTTAGTCGGTAACTCATAAAACTTGTTTTCTACGCGCCAACACGTGGCTGCCATGGCGCAACACTTACGGTACACTTAAGAAACTTGACAGATCAAATGTTCAATTTCTTTGCCTGTTCGTTTCGTCAAGCGACCAGAGTTTCCTGTTAACAGTGATCGAATTGAACGATGAGCAGACGGATAATTCTATAACTTGCCAGAGTGTTTTAGCGCTGGCTACGAAGCACAAGGTCCTCCCACTTTTGATGGGACCCACATCAAAATCCAATATGCATTACCAAGTATGTTACAATGGAAAGGTCCATGAACTAGTCGTCGTTTGCAAAACTTTCATTGTCATAGTCTGACGAGTCGCGGTAAGTTGCTGCACTTTCTCATCAGCCGCGTTCACAGCCTCGGAGGGCTAACTTAGATTAAATGTTGAAAGACGTTCGAGTCGAGTAAGAACGACCGGAAAGGTTGTGTTGGTGGGCACTTCGACATTTACTTTAGCCCACACAAATTCGATGGACTGAAGATCCGAGTGATGTGGTGGTGCGAATTCAACCACATGGCCTCCCAGAGACGCCATTCCAACTACCTCGATTTGAATGTTGACCTCAATATACAGGTGTCAATTTGGACCACAGAACACTTCACAAATCGCCCGGCTGAAATGGTATTTTGTACTGTAGGCAAGCAGCTTGCATGTCAGCTTTTTCAGCTTCGATATTAGAGTGCTAACTGGAAAACCATTGTGATAGTTTACGTTGTCCAAAATGATGGTGGCATTTTCAATTCCACTTTCGTCCAATGCCAGTACAAGTTTGGAAAGACACTCTGCATAATGGAGTGATTGAACATCCCATGGTAATCTCTAGTCTTCTTTATGTCGTTTCGCCCACCGTGGAAAATACCCAAACACAAAAAGAATGACCTCACATCATCAATCACAGCAATGAAACAGCATCTTGATTGGAGACTTTGACTTGCATATCCTGCTTGTCGTTGGGATCGTGAATACTGTCAGTATGGCGACTGTCATGCTGATGAATGTAGGATTCGTCCAAATCCACAACACAAACATGGCTTTTTGGCCACCATGAACTGGACATTCACAGCACTTACCAGCGCAAATCGTGGGGACAAACCATACCACTATTTGAAAAACACGACCGTTTCCACGAGCAAGGAAATACCTCTTGACAGAACGGAGGCAAACAGTGTAGTAAGTGGGCGAATCCAAATCAAATCGATGAAACCACGACCATAGAGTAGATCCAAAGTGTCCGTTGCCACAGTGCAGGTGCATTTGTCGCGGCGCTATCAAACAAATTGCTGCATGAGATCATGGACGTACTGGTGCGAGGAACACGAATAGTGTGGATAGTAGTGTTGCCGGGAATTGGAGCAATACCAACTGACTTTTCGAGCACGTATTCACGCCACACCTCCTTTACGGATGTTTCGTTGCGACCGAGGATTTGACCGACCTGGACATCAAGCAACATGGCCCCAATGCGACGGAAAAAGGCATACAAACGCAAGTTGTTGAACGTTTCCGCCTTGGTGAGGGCACGTAGCCACTCGTCATTAGCATTGACGTGATCGAACTTGAACGTGCTCATTGCGCAGGTTGTAACATGACTTTTAATCAACTGCAGGGGGTCCTGCTTGCATCGGTTTTACATCTTACCCTTCGACTATTTATATGGTATGGTTATGAGACAATACTATTATGGGACGACTTCATTGACTTCAGTCGAAATTGACTAACTGTTCGAGCATTTCTCAAAGCCTACTTCTTGTTTAGAAATATCTATTCACGGATCCTTGCTTGCTATGGATAACAATATCCACATACGAAAGTTGAGATGCTTTTGTGTTGATTGATCATAATATGGCCTTTTTCCTCAATGATGTCGACCACTGTTAAAGCGTGAGCGGGTCACTATGTATGACGCCTTCCTGCCTTCTTTGCTCGTGAACAAAATCGACACAGCCAATCAAAGCTACGATGTTGCTCTTGCTCATTCTTCGTAGACAATTAAATTGCCAACTCAAAGTTAGAGACATGTCGCCAATCAAAACGTATATGTGACTCTTTGTGGACCAGAGTGGTTGTCGAAGCGAAGCAATACACATCATGGCACCTAGCAATGAACCGCCTATGTGGTTTCTCAGTTGAAAGACATATGATGGCAAAGCTGTGAACGGCGACGGATTCACACTGTTGCCTCATGAGGTATTGGCAAGTGTTTTTAGATATTATGATGGAAGAAATTCTGTATCATGAGTTCAAAGGAAATCATCCAGCTATGTGTCGCCAACAAAATGCAGTGACGACAGCTGTGAGATTTG